GTTACCCCGCTTTTACAAAAACATATTAATTAATATGAGGTTTTTTACATAATAACTTAAGATTTCCCTCTAGCTGTACAAAAAGAATTAAGTGATTTCATATTCTATATACCCGTGTTTCTGCAAAAATCACAACCAAATAAAAGTAATAGCTCCACAATTAAAAAAATAATTAGACTCTATAATTGCTTGGTTTTTTTTTCATGAAAACGTAAAAATTAGGTTTTAAAATATGTAGCTGATTAATTAAAATATATTTTTTAAAAGCAGTTTTTTTAACACATATTTTTTATTAATAAGCATATTTTCATATTTTATTTATTACGATACATCGCAGGTGATAGGAGAAGAGAGATTAAAACTTTGTTATAATTTATCAGTTCCTATTTTTACTGAAAACATAGGAACTCTGTTGTGACAAAATATCAAATCAAATGGTTGTTTTACAAACATAGTTGTGAATCTCAAGTTATTTTGTAACAAACTTTTGCATAATGAATATAGACATAAAAACTATTGAACATGTATGTTTTTTTAAAGTGTGGTATCTGTAGTCCTGTTTCAGAATGATAAAAATTAAAAAAAATAAAAAAATAAAAGGAAAACACGGTGGAATTAAAGCCATTTCAACTAGCTGTACCCGCAGGAAATACCGAAAAAAGTAGGGTGATAAGTGGAAATTGTGAGAGGCACAGATTTTTAGCTCTTTTACAATTTGTAAAAGTGTGTTTTGTGTAATAAATAAATTAAAAAGTAATAATATGTCAGCCAAAAGTAAGCAAATTCCTTTGGAACAAGCAATTTGTTTGCCTGTTACTTCAGTAAAACACATTAATATCAAGAATTTTTTATTTACTAATCATACCATTTCTTATCCGGGATTCCGCATTATCCGAACAAACTATGACATTTTTATCTGGATAAAAGGAATTCTACTACAGTTCCTACAGTGTATCATCATAGGTCAAAGTTAAATCAGAATTTACATCTGTACAACTTATTATTTATATGTTTTTAACTTATCGATAGCTTTTTCGGTTGAATTGTACTTGTAGCGAGTAAATCTGTTATAACTGGAAGTCGCAAATGGTGGAATATGGCTCCCAGGGGTGAGAATGTATCTCGATAATAATAAATCACTTGGTAATGGAACTTCCATATGGAAAATACTGCAAGTTATGATATCACTCTCCTCCCCTAGCGTCATATATTAACAACCTCCTTGAATTAGTACGCCTGAAAAGCCAGGATCTTTCACTTTCCATTTCGAAAACAAGCCATAAATAATATCTTAAATCAATGAAATGAATGTTGCCAAGTTCTTTTAAGTCTCGTCATTTAGTTAAACCCTAAGGCTTAACAAAAAAAAAAAAAAAAAAAAAAAAAAGATGTAGTAAGACATAATGTTTAGTATACATAGGCTTAAATAAAGGCAAGGAAGCCAAGACATGGCCTTCGACGTGGGTCGCACAGTTCAAGCAATAAATTTTTTTTTTGTGTTCTTTTATTTTTAATGATAACTTATTGAAATTTTGTGAGTATTCACTTAATATATAGAAGAAAATTGGACACTATTAACCCATTCAATTATTTAAGTTATACGGTACAACACATATGGTTATATATTTTTCTGAAATAGCATAAAAAAAAAATTGTTCAACTTTTTTTTAAATCTCCATTGACCTCCAAACAAGGTATTTTACCAAGGTAATCTATGTAACTTTGAGAAACACCTCTACAAATTTCTGCTGCAATCGAGTGCAATCGTTTCTTCAATGCAATTGTTTGTTTAATTCTACTTCCAATGCGTTTTTCAAATCTCTTTGTTGTTTCTTTTAATTGACGTTGTTTATTCAATATACCGTGGTTTACCAGTACAACATGACCTCGACATTCGTAAAATCAGAAGTCATATTTTTAACACTAATGATATTGATGAAAAATTTATTCGAAAGTTATTTAAAATCATCAACTGTGGTAATTAAAATATAAATGTCACGATGTTGATTTTTTTTTTTACTTAATATTAATTTTTTTGTTAAACATATTTATTGAGAGGTATTACAATCTGTCACAGATAAGGACATTTATAACAGTGTTCAGAGAGCACATTCACGCTATATCAACAATAAATAATACAGAAAAAACAGTAATACTAAAAGTTAAAGAATATAAACTAAATTTAAAAAAAAGAAACTAAATTAATAAAAATAACTACCCACATACACACATGCTTCTGTACAATATCTAAAAAAAAAATAAAAAATCATTCACTCAAGATCTCCAAGTCAAGCCTTTCTCCCCACTCGTGGAAGTAAAGACAGGACTCTAGGAGATCCCAGCGCCTCTCACTCAGCAGCGTTATTGTTATTAAGGACTAGTAGAGGCTGATCAGAGGCGCTAATATTAAAATTAAGTATTATTTTTCTTTTTGAAGCAGTTTTTTTTTTTAAGTATTTTTCTTTGCTTTATTGTATTTTTTTCTTTGTATCTATTTATTTTATTGTTATTTTGTTTTCATTTCATATTTTAGTTGTGTCAATATGGTATGAATGTACATACAGAGCTTTAGTACCAAATGCCCTCGATTGTGGCAGATTGTACAATTATTCTTCCAATAAAAATCGTTTAATGAAAATATATATATATTAAAATTTTCCAAATTCAGGCTTATGTTCTTCACAAAAAAAAAAAAAATCAAATAACAAAATATAATCGAAAAACTCCAGATATAACTAAAATTCGTTATATTTCTTAGCGTGTATAGGCCCTCCCTCCTAAGCGATAGATCACACAAGCAAAGTTTTGCTAAGTTTGCAAACTTCATATGATAAGCCATTCAGAGCATGTAGCTCAAAACTTTTTATCAGGGCTTCTTGACCATTTATGAATGCTACCGTAGTTGGCAATAGAGGAAGGTTTAAAATAGTTTAAACTGCAAATTTTTATTAATATGCCTTTCATGACGAAATAGAGAAGTCTGTCATTAAAAAATGTGTTTCATACCCGGTCATCTGAGAATATAGAAAAGATGAAAAGATTTTCATATTTTACAATGAAAAAAGTGACACTACAAGATTTATGAAATTATGAGTTTTTTTTTCAAACTCGACATATTTAATATAATACAGTTAAACTAACAACGTATTTTCTATCCCTACTTACAAGTAAACCTACAAATTTTGAAACCTGCAAGCAATTGTAACGTTATATTTAAAAAAAAAAGTAGACATTTTTAAAAAAGGGACCATCTAAAAGAATTTAGAATGTATTAGGAGTTTTTTTAAGATCGTGGTAAATTTGGTATCACATTGTTTAGAATCAAAAAATTACTTAGTATTTTTTATCTTGAATTACAAGTAAACCTACGGAAATGAATCATCGCCGATTTTAATGATAATATATTTTCGAAAGATTGTGGAAATCTCTTTGTTATGACTTATAAGATAGCTGAAAACATATTATAAAATCAACTGGTAAATTTAATACTTAAAGTTAGAATTTTTACAAAAAGTCTTCGAACAAAATAAAATTTTTTAGAAATAATAAATATTTTAATTTAAAAGTGTTTTTATGTTCTTAATTTTAAACTGATTTAACCTTGAAGACATTTTAGATGTAATATATATTTAAATTAGCATTATTTTCAATTAACAACAAGCCAGACCAATCCGTTGCAAATATATAATACGCTTAATGTTTGTTAATTTATTTAATATTAATTTTACTGATAGCAGGGTAGTAAGTGAATGTTGGGTGATGCACCCCATCTGTGTTTTTTACTTGTTCACTGGTGTAAAAGAAAATAGAGGGGTTGACTAGGCTGGTCATGTAAGCAGAAGGGATGCTGCTCGGCTCCCCTGCGTTATCCCGAGGAAGCTAAGATTTATTGCAAGGAGTCGAGGAGTTGGTCTTGCGGTGGACAGGGCTGGACAAAAGATACATTTGCTAGCATTGCAATATAATATAGGGTTTTATCCAACGACTTTTGAAGCGGGCTTATTTAATTTATTATTCTGTCATTTTTCAGATAATTTTATTTATTTCTGATTGTCGCTTGTTGTTATCTTTCCTGGGATGGTTTGGGCAACAATTAATAGATGGATTCAATTCAGAGAAACTAAATGCTTTATCTGTAATTTATTTTTCGAACTTGGGCAACTTGAGGAAAACTTTTTTTCAAAAAGTGATTAATTGATATTTATATATATACATATATCAATTAATATATATTATATATATATTTTTTAACATGTCTATTTATTTATTTTTTTTATACTTTTCATAAAACTCTGGAGCTCTAAAGCCAACAACTGTGTTATTATGTATTATTCTAAAGGGATTTATTCCAGAATAAACAATGAATATTAATATTAATAAAAATTCAAGATTTCAAACGACTGTAAATATTTTAAGTCTTGCCAATACTTAATAATTCCTTTAGAGAATTCTCTAAGTTTGTTTAATCCCATTAGATTTCTTTTTAAAAAAAGCCCCAGTCTAGTTATTTGTTTCAAAGAAGAAACATGACAGTGTCCTACGAAATTCTCATAATATTACTAGAAAAACATTTCACTCAAAAGTGAAATTATTAAATATGAAGGGGAAGGTGTCCTTGACCAGCGCACTGCGCGACGTTGGCTTGAAAAATTTAGCAGTGGAAATACGAAATTGGAAAGGAAGAAGGGCTCCGGGCGATCATTAATTGATATTGATGAGGTTCTGCAGGAACCTTGAGTCAAATCCGTCCACAAGTACTCGCGAACTTGCAAGGGAGTGTGGTGTGTCGAAATATACTGTTAGTCACCATCTACTCTCATGGGGAAAGTAAAATGAGGAGTAGACTGATCCCTCACGAACTTACTCCTCAACAATCAATTAACATTAACAAGTTAGAAATTTGTGAAAATTGATTGAAAAACCCTAGTCTGAAAAACTACCTGCCTCATCCTCCATATATTCCAGACCTCCCATCTTCGGATTACTACTTATTTAGATCAATGGCCTATTTTCTTCAAGGGAAAAAAATTGATAATTGTGCGGAAGTTGAAATTTCGATCCAAGAGTTCTTTGACAGCCATGGTATCAGGTTGGCCAAGGTTATTAAGAATGGGTATCAGCCTGGGATCGAGGAATCGGCTAGCAGATCGCTAGTCACGGTAGATAACAATGGACTATACTTTGAGTATTAATTGTATTTTATATCAAAGAAATAATAATGCAAATATTTGTTTGAAAAAAGGTCATATTTCTTTACACATCCTATTATTATTATTATTATTATATAAATAAACGAATCTAACTTGCTTTTTCATAACAAAAATTTATTTGGCCTACTTTATTGGCAACGCCTTTTAGTTTTTGTAATTTATAATACAACACAACTTATTTAATATAATAGAAAACCTTTTTTTATTATGTCCAAAAAAAAAAATCGATTTATACATAATAACCTAAAAATCCGGGCAAAGCAAAGGCAATAACAAATAACAAACATGGTGTTTATAATTATACAAAATATTTTTTATTTTCGGATCCTAACTCCCATTGGAACGAATGCCGGGATATGTGTCCTATTTATTTCATTTCATTATCACCCAATAGAAATTTGGTTAAATCGGTAACCCGCTGACTGTAGCCTTCCCTTGCAAATGTTGATCGAGGAACAGAAGTAGATGTATTACAATCATGAATTTTCAGATCAGTTATTGTGTTTTTACGAATATGTGCAAACATATTCCGAAAAGTGAGCTATGTAATTTAGATATTACGCCTAGCATATTTCGATTAGTTCAAAGTTAAGAAGCAAAACAAGTGAATGATTAGAAGAAAAAAAGGTTCTTGAGTGAATTTATAACATTATATTGTAAGGGCTGATTGAGTTAACTTGATTAACTTCTGTTATATAATAAATTCCTGAAATTCAGAAATATTTCTTATAAAGAAAGATCTTGTGTCTTATATAATGTTACGTGACCGAGACCTGATATCGAATATCCTCTTCTTTAATATAATGGCTCCCTTTTATATTTTCTGTATATATGGTCTGAATGTGTTCATATATCACTATAATTCAATAATTACAGTTCAATGTCCACGTGACAGATTGTTATATTTCTAAATAAATAACTTTTATAAAATAAAAAAAAAACGGCTAAATATAAAATTGTACCACAACAACCCATGAAGGTTCTTGGGTTCAGTACTATTTAGGGAAAGCACTGTTTCTTGGTCTACAGTTGTGCAAGGAGGTGATTTGATCAAGATCACGCTCAACCGCCATGTTTTCCCCCTTAATTAATTATCTAATTAACGGTACCCACTTTATAGTGGCTGGGTGTCATATTTTTTTCATTCAAATTCTGTACTTATACCTTGTACCTAAGAACAAAACGTTAAATATGAAATTTAATAGTAATCGAAAAATAGAAATTGTATACACGAAATTTTATGCACTGAATGAAATTTTTATACACGAGACTCAGGATTGTCTCCCGACCCATGGTCGCCCCACGGCCAATGACACAGATAAATTAATTTTCTTAACGGCTATATATATAGTGTTTCAGGGCTAAGTGGTCAAACTGCAAAAATGAACTATAGACCTCAAAACAAGAAAACAAATTTCCTCTGAAGGTATGTCCGGAAACGCTTTGTTTAGGATATATTCACACCTAAAGATTTTCGTTGTTATGAAATATTTACGCTATATGAAATAAATAAAACCTATTTATTTGTTCTAACTACTTTATTAATTAAATGTAAACATTAACATTCGTATTAAATGTCATCTTTCTTCAACATCAACAGTGTCAGAACGGCACTGGATATGTGTTATTGTTTCACAAGATTCAATTATCCTTCTTCGTAAGGAATTAAGGTCATTGACCGGACTAAAATATAAAAAATATTACCAATAAGCATCAGAGATGGCCATCCTCTCCACAAGGTCTTAGACGTAAGACCCTCTCTCATGAAATTTTCTTTATATATCAATACAAGTGAAAACAGATTTAGAAAAATTGTAGATCATATACAATTCCATTTGCTGAGGTCGGTTCCACGTGATTCTCCCTAAAAAATCATAAACCCGTAAAAATGTACTCCTCCCCCTCAAACATTCAAAAATATGCCTACTTCAAAAATATTGATGGCGTTACTTATTTGATGCCTTCTGAGCATCCCAATAATCATTTTCTATAAAATTGCCGATTCATCCATGTTTCATATACGTACAAATACATGAACTGTTTTGTAGTGAACTATAACTTTCTTTTTATTATTGTTATTATAGGATGTGCTATATCTTGTTTTGTCGGATTGAATGTTTGATTTTCAGTGCTCTAATTTTTGAATAAGCGAAATATTGGCTGGTTAGTTATTTATTGTTATTTTAAAGACATTTAGCTTTGATTTGGGAATGTTCCAATAACCTAATATGTTATAGTTTTAATTTAAGAGCTCCTATTATATCTCGTTTTTATTGTTTTTTCTCTCCTTCCTTGACATGCATTCAGCAGCTTTCAGGAAGGTACTCGTATGAAATTGTTGAAATTTATCTTTAGAATTACCTTTGAAATAAGTTTTTATGATTAATATCAGACTCTCGTTAAAATATAGTTATACATAAATGGTATCCCTCAACTTTTTCATTCGAGTTTATTTATTCCAGAAACGCTGCAAAGAATATTTCTGCTTTATAACCCCAGTTTTCTCATTAGTGCATCATATTAGTTTTAGCGTATTGTACATATGTGAAGTTGGCATAGGAATGGCTCATAAGCTGCGAGCTAAACAGGATCTGCTCCGTCCTGCTTGTAAATTTATGTACTCCGTTGTATACAAAGACTCCTAAAATCGGCCCACATAAACATAAAAGCTTAATGAGTGTTAATTCGCAATCCTAAACCCAGGAACTTCAACAGTTGTGACAACTTTACATTAACATTTATATTTGTGATGTATTTGTAGCGTTCATTTCGATAGTTTCGCCGTTTTATATTCGAAATCTAGACAGTAAAAGTGATTTATTGGTTTTCAGACAAGGGACATTTTAAAATATGATTTTTCTAGAGACTCTCCTGAAAATGGCCATATTCAGCTTGAAATGTAGGCAATAAACATTATCATAATGACTGCTTCCTGGTCATTAATATACGCGATTTATAGAACAGTAGAATATCTATCATAAATAATAATATGAAAAACAGCTTGGTTTTGAGTTTCTTTCGCAGAATTTAAGTATTGTATTAATATTGCTGAGGAGGGAGTCGCTAATTGAGTAAATCACTGTGCTGTTTCCGCCCACGGATTCGAGTCAAGCTTTGCCGATAATTATTCTGTTATATCAGTCGTGGATCGATCTTGGGTCGATGGCACCTCTTTAATTGACAGGCTTTGATGACCCTAGAGTTTTACACCTTAAAGCCCAAATAAACAAACAAACATCTGTAATTGTTTCTGTTCTGCGTGATACCTTTTAGAGATTTTATTAAAAATCTAATTTTTCCCGTGTTTGATAAAGTTCGAACAGTATAGACATTCTCAACAGTAGAAATATAATAACAATCATCTCGAAAATATAAATAATTGTCTTCAAAAAAATAAATTAAACTTAAACTTATATATATATATATATATATATATATATATATATATATATATATATATATATATATATATATTGACAACATTTAATAATAATAATTAATAAGTGACCCTTTTAAATGGTTATGTTTATGTATATAAAATTATAAATGTAATAATAAAAATTATAAATGTAAGATTTTTAATATAGACCGTATGTAATACTATTTTAAAAATCTTACTTCTCTAACTTTTGTGGCCAAGAATTCCCATCAACTATAATGAAAAGTCTGAGCCTGAGAATTTAGGTTAACTGTGTGTGAAAAAATTAGTATGTTGGAAACCTTTGGTCAAGAAACATATTGATAATAAATAACCATATGACAACAAACACAAAAAATAATAATTCTTGAAATTCACTTATTTATTTTTTAATTTCTGGTGGAGATTCAATTTGGTGCTCGGAACTCCGTCAAGTTGGTTTAGGACCTTCTGTGATTAACGCTAAAGGATTATTAATAGATCAATATGGATTCAACGACAGCAATTTAATTTGTTTTATCAGTAATTAAGCTAGTTACAAATGGCTGACATGTGCTGAGCGTTCGAGCTACTAATGCCGATTTCAAAGAACCGGGCTAGTTTGATGTTCTAAAAGGGCCTTCATGGGATAATGTTAGTGTCATTTAATGTATCCTCTAATATTAATTCCAAATAAAGCCTGTCGGTAATGAAAAAAGGGTTAGCTCCTGTTTCAATCTTGATATGGGGCAACTTGGATACCCGGCCGAGAGCAGCAGGTTGTTCAATACCCCTCGTTTGAATGACAATCACGATCGACTTCTATTGCTACTCCCTTTATCGGGGATCTCTTGCATGTGAAACTTATCTCGGAGTGGATCAACTGTATTGGTGTATCAGATGAAAGGCAATGTAACATGATTTTGAAGGTGATACGAGGAAACTGTATCGAATAAAGTACGCCTCGTTGAGAATTTAAGGTGAAAACATTTGAAAACCATTCATTAGATTTTCATTAAAAACATTTTAATATAATTACTTTTAATTTCTAGAACTAATATACCATAGCAAGGCCTCTCACATTAGATATCAGTTCTTCGCCTTTATGTATTTTTAATATTTTTGTGAAGGCAGTGGATCAGCTGATGCGAAAGGACGTGTTTCTACATCGTCTCTCAGAATTTGCTTATTTTGCAGTGAAATCTTTGAGATTATTTATTCAAAACAAGTCAAGAATACATAACAATAATTGATATTTATTGTTTGTTATAAATTATAGGGTTATTTTTATTTTATTTTATTTTTATTTTTTTTCATTTTTTTTTTCCCTTATATGCGGTATCGCAATCAGGCCATGTCTAGTAGTGCTTCTATCAAGAGAATTCGGCCGTTAGGCTCAACACCTTGTTCTTCGCCTGTCAAACAAAAGCCTCGTCAATGTCGTCAAACACCTGCAGTAACGCCTATTAGCTCCAGAGAAAATGAAACCCAGCCAGGAACATCATCAAAACCAACAATTGAAGAACTTCAGCATCAACCAGGTACATCTTCACAAGAGATAACCAAACAATCTCCGTTTTTCACC